AAATTTTTTTAAAAAATACAGGGGGAAGGTGTTACTAAACACCTTGCTCCCCGGGGATTTAGTAAATTTATACAGGAGAAAGGGGTTTTCTAGCACCTTTTCTCCTGGCCCTTTAGAATTTATAGAGAAAAAGGGGTTACTACACCTTGCTCCTGGGGAAATTTTGTAATTTATACAGGAAAGGTTTTTAATAGACCTTTCCCTGGCATTTAAATAATTTTTTAGAGAAGAAATTTTTACTAGCACCTTTCTTTCCCGGCATTTTAAATAATTTTTAACAGGGGAAAGGGGTTACTAGCACCCTTGCCCGGCTTTTTTTTAATTTAAACAGGAGAAGGGGTTACTAGCACCTTGCCCTGGCATTTAGAAAAAAATACAGGGGGAAGGGGGTTTTGCACTTGCTCCCCGGGATTTAGTAATTTTAAAAGGGGGAAAGGGGGTTTCTAAACACCCTTGCTCCCAGCATTTTTAAAAATTTTTTAAAAGGAGAAGGGGGTTACAGCACCCTTTCTCCTGGCATTTTTGTTTAATTTTTTACGGAGAAAGGTTTTTACTAGCACCCCTTTCTCCCCGATTAAATAATTTATACCGGAGAAGGGGTTACAAACACCCTTTCTCCCGGCCCCTTTAGTAATTTTATACAGGAGAAAGGGGTTTTCTGGGCCCCCTTTCTCCTGGCAAATTTTTTTAATTTAAAAACAGGAGGAAAGGGTTACTAGCACATTGCTCCTGGATTTTGTAATTTATTTAAGGGAAAAAGGGGGTTTGTAGCACCTTGCTCCCAGCATTTAGTTAAATTTTTACCGGGAAGGGGTTACTACAAACCCTTTCTCCTGGAAAAAAGCAATTTTACAGAAGAAATGTTACAGGGACCTTGCTTTTGGCATTTTTAAAATTTTTACAGGGGAAGGTGTTTTTACACCTTTCTCCTGGCAAATTTAAATTTTTACAGGAGAAGGTGTTTCTAGCACCTTGCTCCCCAAACATTTTGTAATTTTTTACAGGAAAGGGGTTATAGCACCTTGATCCCGGCATTTAGTAATTTTTTACAGGAGGGAAAGGGGTTACTTGCACCTTGCTCCCCCCGGGATTTAAATTTAATTTTTTACAGGGAAGGGGTTACTAGCACCTTGCCCTGGGGAAATTTTTTTGTAATTTATACCCGGAGAAGGTGTTACTAAACACCTTGCCCCCTTTGGGATTTAGAAATTTTTTACAGGGGAAGGTTTTACTAGCACCTTTTCCCGGATTTAGTAATTTATACAGGAGAAGGGGTTTAAATTTGCACCTTGCTCCCGGCATTTAGAATTTAAACAGGGGGAAGGTGTTACTAGCACCTTTCTCCCCATTTAGTAATTTATACAGGAGAAGGGGGGTTTTTTTGCCCTTGCTCATGGATTTAGTTTAAAAAATAAAGGAGAAGGTTTTACTAGCACCTTGGCCCCCCACATTTAGTAATTTATACAGGAAAAAAAAGGGGTTTTTTACACCTTGCTCCCGGCATTTTGTAATTTATACAGGAGAAGGTGTTACCACCCCCTTGCTCCTGGGATTTAGTAATTTATACAGGAGAAGGGTTACTACACCTTTCTCCCCGGCATTTTGTAAATTTTTAAAAAGGGGAAGGGGTTACTAGCACCCTTCCCGGATTTATAATTTAAACAGGAGAAGGTGTTACTAGCACCTTGCTTCTGGCATTTTGTTTAAATTTTACAGGGAAGGTGTTAATAGCACCTTTGCCTTTCCCCGGGATTTAGTAAATTTTTCCCGGCGAAGGGGGGTTCCCAGCACCCTTTTTTCCCGGCATTTAGTAAATTTTTACAGAGGGAAGGGGGTTTCCCAGCCAAACCCTTTTCCCAGCATTTTTTGGTTTAAATTTTTACAGGAGAAGGGGGTTTTACTAGCACCTTGCCCTGGCATTTAATAATTTTTTACAGGGAAGGGGGTTACTAGCACCTTGCTCCCGGCCCTTTTTTGTAATTTTTAAAAAGGGGGAAGGGGGTTTCTTTTCCCCTTGCTCCCGGATTTAGTAATTTTTACAGGAAAGGTGGTTTCTACACCTTTCTCCCGGGCATTTAGTAATTTATAAGGAGAAGGTTTACTAGCCCTTCCTCCCGGCATTTTTTAATTTTTAAAAAGGGGGGGAAAGGGGTTTCTAGCAAAAATTTCTCATGGCATTTAAATAATTTAAACGGAGAAGGTTTTTACTAGCACCTTGCTCCCAGCAATTTTGTAATTTTACAGGGGGAAAGGGGGTTTCCCAGAACCCCTTTCTCCCCGGGATTTATAATTTATACAGGAGAAGGTGTTACTAGCACCTTGCTCCTGGCATTTATTTAATTTTTTACCGGAGAAGGTGTTTTCAAACCTTGCTCCGGCATTTAAATAATTTATACAGGAGAAGGGGGTTTCTAGCACCTTGTCCGGCATTTAGTAATTTTAAAAAGGAGTAGGTGTTACTAGCACCTTGCTTCTGGGATTTAGTAAATTTTTACGGAAAAAGGTTTTTACTAGCACCTTGCTCCCGGGATTTTTTAATTTTTACAGGCGAAGGGGTTACTAGCACCTTGCTCCCCCGGGATTTAGTAATTTATAAGGAGAAGGGGGGTTTCTAGCACCTTGCCCCAAACATTTTTTTTTAAATTTTTAAAAAGGAGAAAGGGGGTTTCTAAAACACCTTGCTCCCCGGCTTTTGTAAATTTTTACAGGAGAAGGTGTTACTAGCCCCCTTGCTCCCGGGCCTTTTTGTAATTTTTTTAAAAAGGAGAAGGGGTTTTCTAGCCCCCTTTCTCCCGGGATTTAGTAATTTTAAAAAGGAGAAGGTGTTACTAAACCCTTTCCCCCGGGATTTAAGGGAATTTTAAAACAGGAAAAAGGGTTTCTTAAACACCTTCTCCAGGCATTTAAATAATTTATACAGGGGGAAAAAGGGGTTTTCTAGCACCTTGCTCCCGGGATATTTGTAATTTATACAGGGGAAGGGGGTTTCTAGCACCTTGCTCCCCGGGATTTAGTAATTTTAAAACAGGAGAAGGGGTTTCTAGCACCTTGCTCCCGGAAATTTTGAAAAATAAAAAGGAAAGGGGGTTTCTGCCCCTTGTCCCCCCCTTTTGTAATTTAAAACAAAAAGGGAAAGGGGGTTTTTTTGCAAACCCTTTCTCCCCGGGATTTAGTAAATTTTTAAAAGGAACGGGGTTTCTACCCCTTGCTCCCGGGATTTAGTAAATTTTTACAGGAGAAAGGGGTTTTTACACCTTGCTCCCGGCAATTTTGTAATTTATACAGGAGAAGGGGTTTTCTAGCCCCCTTTCTTTCCCCGGGGATTTAGTAATTTATACAGGAAAGGGGTTACTACAAATTTCTCCTGGCATTTGGGAATTTTTTAAAAGAAGAAGGGGTTTCTAGCACCTTTCTCCTGGCCCTTTAGTAATTTATACCCGAAGAAGGGGTTACTAGCACCTTCTCCTGGCATTTAGTAATTTTAAAAAGAAGAAGGGTTTTCTAGACCCTTTCTCCTGGCGTTTAGTAATTTATACAGAAGAAGGTGTTACTAGCACCTTTCTCCTGGGATTTAGTAAATTTAAAAAGGAGGTTTACTGGGACCTTGCTCCCGGCATTTAGTAATTTTTTACAGGAAAGGGGTTTTCTAGCCCTTGCTCCTGGCCTTTAGTAATTTTACAGGAGAAGGGGTTAAAACCCCCTTGCTCCCGGGATTTAGAATTTAAAACAGAAGGGGGTTTCTAGCACCCCTTTCTCCTGGGGATTTATTTAAATTTTTACAGGAAAGGGGGTTTCTAGCACCTTGGGTCCCGGGATTTAGAAATTTTTAAAAGGAAAAGGGTTTACTGCACCTTGCTCCTGGCATTTATAAATTTTTAAAAGGAAAGGGGGGAAATAGCACCTTTCCCCCGGGTTTAGTAATTTTACAGAAGGGGTTTCCCCAGCACCTTGCTCCCGGGATTTAGTAAAATTTTTATGGAAGGGGTTTTCTAGCACCTTGCTCCTGGCATTTAGTAATTTATTTAAAGGGGAAGGGGTTTCTAGCCCCCCTTTCTCTCGGCAATTTTGTAATTTAAAAACAGAAGGGGTTTAAATAGCACCCTTTCTCCCGGGAAATTTTGTAATTTATACAGGAAAAAATGGGTTTCTGCACCCTTTCCCCCGGCATTTAGTAATTTATACAAAGGGGTTACAGCACCCTTTCTCCCGGTATTTAGTAAAAATAAGGAAAGGGGGTTTCTACACCTTGCTTTTGGCATTTAGTAAATTTTTTTACAGGAAAGGGGTTGGTTTTCAGCCCCTTGCTCTCGGGAAATTTTGTAAAATTTTTAAAAGAAGGGGTTTAAATAGAAACCCCGCTCCCGGCATTTAGTAATTTATACAAGGGGAAGGGGTTTTCAAACCTTTGCTCCCGGCATTTAAATAATTTTAAAAAGGAGGGGGTTACTAGCCCCTTGCTCCCCGGGATTTAGTAATTTATACAGGAGAAAAGGGGTTTTTTACACCTTGCTTTCCCGGCATTTTTGTAATTTATACAGGAGAAAGGGTTACTGCCCCCTTGCCCCCTGGCATTTGTAATTTTTTACAGGGAAGGGGTTTTCTAGCACCTTGCCCTGGGATTTAATAATTTATACAGGGGAAGGGGTTCTAGCACCTTTTCTCCCGGGATTTAAATAAATTTTTACAGGAGGGAAAGGGGGTTCTAGCCCCCTTTCCCAGTAATTTTTGTTTATTTTTTAAAAAGGAGAAGGTGTTACTAGCACCTTGCTCCTGGTATTTTATTCGCCTGTTATGAAACGCATCACTTACAGAGGAAGGATTCTTCTTCACTTATCAGTGGAGATTTATGTGAAGTTCTCCTATGAAATTTCTCTTATTACTATCAAAGACTGCTGTAGTTGCTAATCAAAAACAGTTGTAGTTACTAATCGAAGATTATTCTGGCTGTTAATCAAAGAATGTTGTAGGTAGGAGAGATGAGAGAGAATTGATCAACTCACCTGCAGAAAGTCAGTAACTTCAATCTCCATGACGGACTCAGAGCAGAGGTCGAGAGCAGCCTGCATGTCCTGGCAGTGGACAGTTAGGTCTCTCTGCAGAGCTTGGAACACACCCAACACAAAGCTCCGCAGGTACAACACTTCCAGTGCTTCTACATGACCGCGCACACAACTGTAATCTGAGAAAAATATTTAAAGATTTTGTTTGGTTTTACCAATGTAGACATTACTTACTAAGGTGATAATAGTAGTACTAGTAGCAGCTGTGATAATTCAAACAAAGGTGATAACAGTAGTAGTAGCTGTGATACATATATTTTTAAACACATTTGCTGTTTCCAACCAACACAGGATGGCCAGAAAAAGAAGAAACCTTCATCATCCCTCTCTCCATTACTGTCCTGCCAGAGACATGCAGATACTACAATTCAAGAACTGCAAAATATCTCCACCCCTCCTTTATAATGCAGAAAATGTACTACCCACCACCTTGACTCAAGTCTGGTTAACTGGTTTCCTTGAATCCCTTCATAAATATAAATTTCCTCATACTCCAACAGCATGTCGTCATAAAAACCATTTGCTTTCATTAGCTCCTAATATGCTCACACATCCCTACTGGATGTCCAAGCCCTCTGCACACAATAACTCGCCAAAAATATTAAATGAGTCTGAAGGCAGTACTGTCAAGATCTCGAAACATATCCATATGTTTAACCCTTAAACTGTCCAAACGTAGATCTATGTTTGTACCACTAGCGCTCAGAACATAGATCTACGTTTTTTACATTTGAAAGCTTGTAAAAAATAATAGATCTATGTTCGGAGCGCTAGCAGTGAAAACATAGATCTACGTTTGGACAGTTTATGGGTTAACATATCAATTGTGTTCATTATTTACTTTTACAATATACATGCACACTGGGCCAAGAAAATACCTGTCACATATAACAAAGACCCCTGTAGTTAGAAAAGTCAGTTTAAGTAGCACATTAATCACATTTCTTACCACTTTCAAAAAAGGATGAGTGGGGATGTTATGCAGGGGCAGTACTGGAATTTCTATACTGGAGCTGCTAAGGTGAGGCTACCTGGTTGTTAGGGGGCCAGGAGCCTTCTTTTGTAGCAGTTATTATTATTAATTTTATTTGGGGGAGCTTTTGGGGGTGGTAAGGGAATTCTGGCAGGGACTGAAGCCTCCCCAAGTCTCCCTCTGGCACCACCACTGATGTAATGGTTCCCAGGATCACTTCAAATGTTATGTGCTGGCACTCTCAGCTAGGCAGCTATGGAATGAGGCAGGGGCATTGTAAGAGGGGTGGGGGCACCCCAGGTGACACCATTTAAGGGGTGACACCATAAAGCCTCTAAAGAAGGTAACACTAATGACCAAAATCATGCTGCAAGAACCTAAGAGAAAAATCCTATTATAGGATTACAGAGTACAAATAGGCGTATATAGGGAAAATCATTGATTTTGATGATGTGATAGATGATTTTGCAGGATTGAAGGGAAGGAAATGAAATATCAGATGATACCAGGGATTCCACCCCGGGTGACACCAACCCTAACGTTGCCTCTGGAATGGGGGTGATGAATGTTTTCCTTCCTTGTGTCACCTTACCTTAGTGGGAAATGGTTAATGTTGCAAGAAAAAATAAATATCTTATACAGTTATTATAACCCCTTCTCCTGTATAAATTACTAATTGTTAAAAGAAGAAAAACACTATAGTTTTCTTCTTTTTTGGGTCACACTGTCTTGGTGAGAGACAGCCGGTGTGTTGAAAACAAAAAAAGTAAACTGGTGTGTACCTCCAACGTCAGATTCTTCTGAGCGAGGTTCAGGACTGGGTTGTTTGGGATCTTCCTGAAAAGTTGCAGCAGGAGGGGGGATGGAATCATCCTTCAGAGGTACTGTATCCTCTATTATGTCACACTCTAACTTGGAGGTGGAGTCTATGTAAATGTCCTTCCCTACAACACTAGAACGATTATTGCTGAAAAAATAAAAAGTCAGGTACAATACATTAGATGTATAATGATCTTCAAAGAAATTTTCATTATTATCAAAACATCCTGTTCTAATGAATAATTATTTTTCTAAATGTCTTTCATTTTAAATAGAATCTCCTTTTGTGTATCTTCCAGTCAAGTATTATCAAGATTCTCCAAGTATCTTCTACAAACAAATATTTTGTCAAACAGAAGAAATAAATAAGCAGAGCACAATAACACAGTACAGTAGTCCCTCGTATCTGCAAGGGATACATTCCAAGACCTATCATGGATACCTGAAACCATGGATAGTAGTGAACCCCATATATAAGTTGTTTTTCGTTTACATACATACCATAGCACTTTTACACAGATACATAGCACTTTTTTACTGATGGGAAGCACTTCACAGTTTCTCTTAGGCGCTAAAGAACTGTCACCATTTGGTGCCATTATTAAGCAAAATTAAAGGTTATTTTTGGGCCACAGTAAAACATGGATAACTGAAACCACGGAAACCAAATCCGTGGATATGGGGGCCTTACCTTATTCCATTAATGGAGTTATTAATTTCATACACAACTACTTAACCCAAGTGAGGTATTGACAGGTGTGGGTGGTCAAATAGAACTGTTATAAGCTTCACATTAACTGTAATGATCATTATATGTTACTCAGTTTCAACAATAAATTATGATTAGAATGATTATATCTTAAAACTTGTTCTCAGCAGGCACAGCATACCCAGGTATAATGGATGAAGACTAGTTCTAGAAATATACCTCTCTAGGTTTAGCAAGACTCACCAGTTGATCAGCTGAGTGGTGATGCTGCTCAGTTTGCAGTCGTAAACATAGATAGGTAAAGTAACAGCACCATACAGAGGTTTGTGCCAAGGTGGTGGATTGGCAATGGTTGTGCTTTCATCAAGGTTGGAAACTCTGCTGGCAGGATCTACGTCTCCTGCAGCTGCAGCAGCTTGTAAATGCATCGGCACGAAGCTCTCTTCAGTCTTCAGAGCTTCCACTGACATGCTTGTAACTGCAGGATCAAACCCACCAGAATACGATTTAGATGGCATCGAAATGTATGTTTTCCTTATGTGCTCATTTGGAGACAAGACTTTAGGGACATCACACTGCGGTTCTTTGGTAGGTGAATCAACAGAACCAGTGCGGTTCCTTTCTGCAGCTCCGGCTCCTTGTCCAAAAGAACTACATCGCTCTCGACTTACATGGAAAGAACTGGCTCTTTCTCGCAGCAGTGAATCAGAAAATACTGACTGAACGTGATGCGAATTTGTTTGAAAAACTGGACCAGATTTATAGCGAATTCTGGATGAAGTAGGTTCACCAACCTCATCAACTGACACAGTAGCAGATCTGAAGTTGGTAGGTGTGGGTGGAGGCAGACTAGGAGATGTCATGTGTGTCAGCGACGATGTGCTGCTTTCGAAAGATATCTGCTGCTCTGACATGAGGCCAGCTGCTGGCTGGTCAGTTGTATTAGTCTCAGTGTCAAAGTCCAAAAAGTTTAGAGAATTTGGCAGAAGCTTAAGAGCCATGTTGTTGGTCTCGGTTATATTGGCACGTTTGACTAAGAGCATCTTGAGATCGTAATAAGAAGCTGGAAGAAGAGTAATGAGGAGATGGTTGCTGGACACGCCCTTCAGGAAACACCGCCACTTGGGAGGATCACTCATTTTATCTGTGAAGACAAACGCATAAGTTACATCCATATCATCTGATTAAAATAGGTAAACTTTGAAATAATATTGTAATATTACAATACAAGAAAATACTGCATAGGTAACCAAAGTAAAATGTAACAAACAAGTGATAAAAACACATATAACAAAAGTTATTTATTAGTATGATGCTTCACCTACATGAGACTTTATGAGTTACAAAAAAGTATCAAGCTGGTGATATATGTATCTAATGCTAAGACATGGTGTGAGTCAGTCAGGTGGTGGATGAGGCTGAGGTTGAGATGTTTCATCTGGTATAGATGATGTGGCATACATTAGATGCCAGAACAACCAGGCTGTGATGGATATGTGGGTCAGCAAGCCACCAACAGCAACAGCCTGGATGACCAGGCAAGCAGAGTACAGCTTGTCTACTAGAGTTTTTCTACTCCTGGAGCCTGGCCATAGGCCAGGCTCCAGGAATAGAAAAACTCTTGAAACTCATCAAAGGCATACCAAAAGTATATAGCTGACAATGGAGTAGCAGTTCTAATCACAAAAACAATTATAAGGACTCTCTACCCTACTAAGAACACTGTCATATAGGAGTATACAGTATCTCATATCAGAGATGCAACTGCATGTACACAGAAGAAACATCAAGGGACTTTGCTACTTGACTACAAGAACACAGATATGCCAGTAGTATGGACAATATACAGAATGCATGTGTAGTGCTCAGAAACATATACACACACATGCACATATCTCATGAACATCAAACAAGATCATTTGTTGTACTAGGAAAACAACAGAAGTGGTTAAGTCATGAATCAGCAGATACACTGCACTCGCCATTAGTAACATCGTGCAGAACAGAGACAAATACATTTTAGTTTAATCCTTTGAGGGTCCGTTCCGTAGTTCTATGGCTTTGAAGCCAGGGTCCAAGCCGTAGTACTACGGCATAAGCTCACCTCACTCACATAAGATGTGAACGGCAAATCTGGGCCTAGAAATGAGAGACTGCATCTATGTGATAAGTGTGCACCATACAAAACAAATCCTGCAGTAAGCAGTGCATAATGAGAAAAAGAACTGCAACCATGTTTTTGGATTAAAACAGCGAGTTTGTGGTGTATTTTTGTATGTTTTTCACGGTTGTATTCACGGTTTCTTGGGCTCATTTGATAGAATGGATGATATATTACAGAAATAGAGATAATTTTGATTGGTTTTAGTACTGATAATGGCTCGAAACTGAGCTCAAATAGCGGTAATGTTCAATTTTTGCCCATGTTCAAGAGTAAACAAATGACATCATGCGTCCAATACACGTTAGCAGGTGGGTCTAATGTGCGTTCACAAATGTGCTGATATTATCATACAATTATTACAATATTGCATAACAGTAAATCTTCTGTTTTGGTGTGAAAAAAAATTCTTTACATGAATACATAATCAAAGTGGAATTCATTTGTAAAGCCTGGAAGTGTAACTAATGAACAGAGGAAATGTTATTTTATACCAGGAGAGCCTGCATTGTTTATTCGTGACCCTATTTTGAAATTGGAATATTTTGAACTTTGTGTGAAATTGGCCAAATTACCAATTTCCGATCACTTTATTGGGGAGTTGAAATAGTTGATTGGGCAATTTCTTGTGCTCAATAGATAAAATGGAACACATACTAGCAAAATAGCTAAGAATTTGGTCGACTGGAATAATGTAATTGGTGACATTCTCTTGCCTACTTAAAATCCTACCTTAACGACAGACACCAGTATGTACATGCCAATGCGGTCAAGTCCGCTATCCAAGCTGTAGCTATAGGAATACCCCAGGGTAGTGGCCCAGACCCACTCCTCTTTCTCATCTACATCAATGATCTCCCCAATGCATCCCAACTCCTTAAACCAGTTCTATTCGCAGATGACACAGAATGTAGAATTGCAGATGAGCAAGGAGGTTTTACAGTGGGTAGGGGATGTGTAGATCAAGTGTCTATGTTAAATCATATATGTGAACAATATATAGATAAAGGTAGGGAAGTTTTTATTGCATTTCTGGATTTAGAAAAGGCATATGATAGAGTGGATAAAGGAGCAATGTGGCAGATGTTGCAAGTATGGAATAGGTGGTAAGTTACTAAATGCTGTAAAGAGTTTTTATGAGGATAGTGAAGCTCAGGTTAGGGTGTGTAGAAGAGGAGACTACTTCCCAGTAAAAGTAGGTCTTAGACAGAGATGTGTAATGTCACCATGGTTTTTTTTTTTTATTATCACACCGGCCGATTCCCACCAAGGCAGGGTGGCCCGAAAAAGAAAAACTTTCACCATCATTCACTCCATCACTGTCTTGCCAGAAGGGTGCTTTACACTACAGTTTTTAAACTGCAACATTAACACCCCTCCTTCAGAGTGCAGGCACTGTACTTCCCATCTCCAGGACTCAAGTCCGGCCTGCCGGTTTCCCTGAATCCCTTCATAAATGTTACTTTGCTCACACTCCAACAGCACGTCAAGTATTAAAAACCATTTGTCTCCATTCACTCCTATCAAACACGCTCACGCATGCCTGCTGGAAGTCCAAGCCCCTCGCACACAAAACCTCCTTTCCCCCCTCCCTCCAACCCTTCCTAGGCCGACCCCTACCCCGCCTTCCTTCCACTACAGACTGATACACTCTTGAAGTCATTCTGTTTCGCTCCATTCTCTCTACATGTCCGAACCACCTCAACAACCCTTCCTCAGCCCTCTGGACAACAGTTTTTGGTAATCCCGCACCTCCTCCTAACTTCCAAACTACGAATTCTCTGCATTATATTCACACCACACATTGCCCTCAGACATGACATCTCCACTGCCTCCAGCCTTCTCCTCGCTGCAACATTCATCACCCACGCTTCACACCCATACAAGAGCGTTGGTAAAACTATACTCTCATACATTCCCCTCTTTGCCTCCAAGGACAAAGTTCTTTGTCTCCACAGACTCCTAAGTGCACCACTCCCTCTTTTTTCCCTCATCAATTCTATGATTCACCTCATCTTTCATAGACCCATCCGCTGACACGTCCACTCCCCAAATATCTGAATACGTTCACCTCCTCCATACTCTCTCCCTCCAATCTGATATTCAATCTTTCATCACCTAATCTTTTTGTTATCCTCATAACCTTACTCTTTCCTGTATTCACCTTTAATTTTCTTCTTTGCACACCCTACCAATTCATCCACCAATCTCTGCAACTTCTCTTCAGAATCTCCCAAGAGCACAGTGTCATCAGCAAAGAGCAGCTGTGACAACTCCCACTTTGTGTGTGATTCTTTATCTTTTAACTCCACGCCTCTTGCCAAGACCCTCGCATTTACTTCTCTTACAACCCCATCTATAAATATATTAAACAACCACGGTGACATCACACATCCCTGTCTAAGGCCTACTTTTACTGGGAAAAAATTTCCCTCTTTCCTACATACTCTAACTTGAGCCTCACTATCCTCGTAAAAACTCTTCACTGCTTTCAGTAACCTACCTCCTACACCATACACTTGCAACATCTGCCACATTGCCCCCCTATCCACCCTGTCATACGCCTTTTCCAAATCCATAAATGCCACAAAGACCTCTTTAGCCTTATCTAAATACTGTTCACTTATATGTTTCACTGTAAACACCTGGTCCACACACCCCCTACCTTTCCTAAAGCCTCCTTGTTCATCTGCTATCCTATTCTCCGTCTTACTCTTAATTCTTTCAATTATAACTCTACCATACACTTTACCAGGTACACTCAACAGACTTATCCCCCTATAATTTTTGCACTCTCTTTTATCCCCTTTGCCTTTATACAAAGGAACTATGCATGCTCTCTGCCAATCCCTAGGTACCTTACCCTCTTCCATACATTTATTAAATAATTGCACCAACCACTCCAAAACTATATCCCCACCTGCTTTTAACATTTCTATCTTTATCCCATCAATCCCGGCTGCCTTACCCCCTTTCATTTTACCTACTGCCTCACAAACTTCCCCCACACTCACAACTGGCTCTTCCTCACTCCTACAAGATGTTATTCCTCCTTGCCCTATACACGAAATCACAGCTTCCCTATCTTCATCAACATTTAACAATTCCTCAAAATATTCCCTCCATCTTCCCAATACCTCTAACTCTCCATTTAATAACTCTCCTCTCCTATTTTTAACTGACAAATCCATTTGTTCTCTAGGCTTTCTTAACTTGTTAATCTCACTCCAAAACTTTTTCTTATTTTCAACAAAATTTGTTGATAACATCTCACCCACTCTCTCATTTGCTCTCTTTTTACATTGCTTCACCACTCTCTTAACTTCTCTCTTTTTCTCCATATACTCTTCCCTCCTCGCATCACTTCTACTTTGTAAAAACTTCTCATATGCTAACTTTTTCTCCCTTACTACTCTCTTTACATCATCATTCCACCAATCGCTCCTCTTCCCTCCTGCACCCACTTTCCTGTAACCACAAACTTCTGCTGAACACTCTAACACTACATTTTTAAACCTACCCCATACCTCTTCGACCCCATTGCCTATGCTCTCATTAGCCATCTATCCTCCAATAGCTGTTTATATCTTACCCTAACTGCCTCCTCTTTTAGTTTATAAACCTTCACCTCTCTCTTCCCTGATGCTTCTATTCTCCTTGTATCCCATCTACCTTTTACTCTCAGTGTAGCTACAACTAGAAAGTGATCTGATATATCTGTGGCCCCTCTATAAACATGTACATCCTGAAGTCTACTCAACAGTCTTTTATCTACCAATACATAATCCAACAAACTACTGTCATTTCGCCCTACATCATATCGTGTATACTTATTTATCCTCTTTTTCTTAAAATATGTATTACCTATAACTAAACCCCTTTCTATACAAAGTTCAATCAAAGGGCTCCCATTATCATTTACACCTGGCACCCCAAACTTACCTACCACACCCTCTCTAAAAGTTTCTCCTACTTTAGCATTC